GAGATCAAGATCAGGGTGCCGGAGACACACACACATGCACACAGACACACACCTGGTCTAGATCACATATCAGCAAGCTAGCACAGGCAGGGGTTGACCTACTCACACCAAATGACCAATAGGATCACGAACTATTGAAGGTTGCACCTCTGTCCAGGGCAGAGCAGCCTAAGAAGATAAATGTGTTGTAAAAACTTAATTCAGGATTCAGAAGCCGGTTTTCCTGCGAGAGCTCTGTCTCTCTGAATCCAGCGCTGTAAGGCCTACCTGTGATCAGACTTTCAGTAAACTTTCTGTTGATTTTAAACAGTCCTCTCCTGTCTTCACTTCTCGTGCTTCCAACAAGATAATTGGGTTAATTTCTAACAGTCCTATTGGACTATTTTCACATCTTAATAAGTTCAGCATACCTTCAGCTAGAAAATCCATTCAGGTATCAATGTTCAGCTCTTCTGGGACATTCCTACTGGTATTTTTTTTGTATCATTTATACATTTTAAAATATATATTAGCTTTTTTGCATTTTAGAGTGGCCTTTTATTGTGGCCAGCCCAAGGCACACCTGTGCAATAATCATGCTGTCTAATCAGCATCTTGATATGCCACACCTGTGAGGTGGATGGATTATCTCGGCAAAGGAGAAGTGCTCACCAATACAGATTTAGACAGATTTGTGAACAATATTTGAGAGAAATAGGCCTTTTGTGTACATAGAAAAAGTTGTAGATCTTTGAGTTAAACTCATGAAAAATGGGGGCAAACACAAAAGTGTTGGTTTATAATTTTGTTCAGTGTAGTTAGCAGCGTTTATTGGTCAGTGAAATCAGTCAGCTTTTATGGCTCCAGGAAGAGAGGACAGGAAAACTGCAACAAAATGATGATGTTTTGCGAGAAATGAGGGACAGTGGGTCTTACACTTGTTCAAAATTCAAAACAACATAACTTTCATTAGAATTGTTTGGGCAAAAAAAAAAAAAAAGTACTGCCAGATGGGCAAAGAGGTAGGCTACTTTTAGCCTTTTAACTGCAGCACAACCTCAGCCAAGAATGGAGAGCATTTCGGATATTCAGCAATTATTGCTAGTGATGCTCTGAAGGACAAAAATTGCCGTTCGGGACAGCCCTAGGGTGGCAACCAGTGAACCACAGTGGGCTGTGGTGCTCCACATGTGTAAAGATGACAGAGCTCATCTTTTATCCCTTTTATCCCAAAGCTATTTAAACTGCTCAGGTTTTACTTGGTATTCTGATGTTTTCACCACTGGATAATACATGTAAGCATTTAAAATAACAAATTGCATCCTGTATTGCATAAGTCATGGTAGACTTTCTTGCTGTCCATCATTTTGACAGACAGGGTAAAAAAAATATCATTTATTATTACCCATTAATGTAATTTTCATTTTTATTGCCAAGGCATTTAGTAGCATTAAATTCGCATTCATTATACAGAACAGTCTTATGTGCAGCCATTTTACGTGTCATCACCATGGATTACTTTTTCCGCAGTGACAGTGGAGGCCATTAAAAATACTGTCGCCAGTGTGTGTAATATAAACAATGCAATTTTGCACAGTTTGTGTCAATTACCATTAAAATATGAACAACCCATTTACAAGAAGTTAGACTAAGTGAAAAGAACTCAGCTGACCTGCTCTAGCCTGCTGCAGAGGTAATTGTTACTACATTTCTTATGGCCCTTATGATTTTGATCTGAAAGCTGAACCCATGCTCTGCTACTACACTAGAGACTAGACTTTTTAGCTCCACTTCAGCCAAAGTTTTGAAGTCAGGGAACATTTCTCTCGGGAAGTGATTAAAGGTTCCTCTGAATGTGGGATTTCCCGATCCTGAAGCACTCACTTCACCAAGAGGAATTTGCTGAATCTGCTCCTTCTGCACCAGTGGCATAGCTGCACCCTTCTGTGACCCATAGTGCATAAGCATCAACTTTATTGCCAAGTATTTCAAGAACACAAGGAATTTGATTCCAGCTCAGTGTCCCCCAATGTGCACAACATAAAAACAAAATAAATACTCAATATATATACAAGTTAAAAGAGCATAATGGCCTAGCTGTTCATCATTGTAATAGCCTGGGGAAAGAAACTGTCTCGGTGTCTGGTTGTCTTTGTACACAGTGACCTGTAGCGCCGTCCAGAGGGGAGGAGTTCAAAGAGCTTGTATCCAGGGTGGGAGGGGTCTGCAGAAATCCTCTCTGCCCCGTAAGGTGTACAGGCCCTTCATGGAGGGCAGGCTGACACTGATGATTTTTCTATGCAGTTTTGACTGTCCGTTGGAGTCTGTTCCTGTTCCTGTTTGTCTGGTTTGGCTCGGCAACCAGAGATGGAAGTGCAAAGAACAGACTCAATGATTCCCCTGTAGAATTGAATCGGCAGCTCCTGAAGCAGGTTGAACTTCCTGAGCTGATGCAGGAAGAACATTCTTTGCTGTGCCTTTTTGATAATGGCGCTGATGTTGGTTGTCCACTTCAAGTCCTGAGAGATTGTGGAGCCCAGGAACTTGTAGGACTCCACGACTGAAACAGTGCTGCTGAGTATGTTGAGCGGAGATAGGATGGTGGAGTTCCTCCTAAAATCCACTATCATCTCCACTGTCTTCCATGTGTTCAGCTCCAGGTTGTTATGACCACACCACAGGGCCAGCTGTTCAACCTCCTGTCTGTAGGCCGACTCGTCACCGTCTTGAATGAGACTGATGATTATGCCGTTTGCAAATTTCTTGATTTTTACAGAAGTCTCCTGAGGTCCAGTCATTAGTAGAGGGAGAACAACAGCGAGGAGAGCACATATCTCTGGGGGGCACCTGTGCTGATAGTCTGGGTGCTGCGTGTGGCTTTCCCCAGTCTCACCTGCTGCTTCCTGTCCGTCAGAAAGTTGGTGATCCACTGACAGGTGGGGGCAGGCACAGTGAGCTTGGTTACTTTGGAGTGGAGGATGTCTGGGATAATGGTGGTAAATGCCGAACTGAAGTTGACATATAAGATCTGAGCATAGGTCCCTGGGGAGTCAAGGTGTTGCAGGGTGCAGTGCAGTGCCATAGTGACTGCATCATCCACTGACCTGTTTGTCCAGTAAGCAACTGCAGGAAATCCAGCCAGGGGTCTGTGATGGCCTTCAGGTGGGCCAATACCAGTCTCTCAAAACACTTCATGACTACTGATGTCAGTGCGACTGGTCTGTAGTCATTCAGTCCCCTGATGGAAGATTTCTTGGGAAGTGGGATGATGATGGAGCGTTTGAAACAGGAGGGAACCACACAAAGCTCTAGTGATCTGTTGAAGATCTGCATGAAGATGGGAGTCAGCTGATCAGCGCAGACTTTCAGACAGGAGGGGGTCGCAGTGTCTGGGCCTGGCACCTTACTGATCTTTTGTTTCCTAAAAGGGCAACGCACATCTCTTTCACAGATCCTCAGAGGTGGTGGACTGATGTGGTAGAGGTAGTCCTAGGGGAAGAGTTTTGCCATTCAAACCTACAATAAAACTCATTCAGCTCATCAGCCAGCTTATAGCTCTCCACAACAGGGTGGGGGTGGTCTCTTGTACCCGGTGTTATTTCGTAGGCTCCTCCACATCTAGTGGTCACAGATGTACTCTGTGGCCTTGAGCCTGTAGCTCTTCAACATGCTGTCACTTCCTGTAAAGTGAGGTGCATTCATTGGGTCTCAGTTGTTCTTCATCCACCGTATACGTTTATCTTTTTGACCTTGGTTATCAACACCATAGCAGTTATTAGGCTTTTTAACTATGACCTCAACAGTAAACATAATTTATTATTGAGGTCATAGTTAAAGGTGGTGTTGTACTGGACTACATTGTATTCACAGGTATTCCTAATATTATGACTCTCTCATACATTCAAAAAAATTCCCCACTCGCCCCCCACTTTGGGGCGGTCTTGTTTCTTCCTTCAAGCTCGGGTCCTCTACCAGAGACCTGGGAGCTTGAGGGTCCTGCGCAGTATCTTAGCTGTTCCTAGCACTGCACTCTTCTGGACAGAGATCTCAGATGTTGTTCCTGGGATCTGTTGGAGCCATTCTCCCAGTTTGGGGGTCACAGCCCCCAATGTTCCTATTACCACAGGGACCACTTGTGCCTTCACCTTCCACATCTTTTCTAGCTCTTCTTTCAGCCTTGGTATTTCTCGAGCTTCTCGTGTTCCTTCTTCCTGATGTTGCTATGGCTTGGGATTGCTACATCTATCACTATGGCCTTCTTGTTCTGTTTCTCCACCACTACTATGTCCGGTTGGTTGGCCATTACCAGTTTGTATCTGGAAGTCCCACAGGATCTTAGCCTGGTCATTCTCAGCCACATTTTGGAGGTGTATCCCATTTTGACTTTGGGACTTCCAGCCTGTACTCAGCACAGATGTTATTGTACACTATGCCAGCCACTTGGTTATGGCATTCCATGTATGCCCTGCCTGCTAGCATCTTGCACCCCACTCTTACGTGCTGGATTGTCTCAGGGGCATCTTTGCACAGCCTGCACCTGGGGTCCTGTCTGGTATGGTAGACCTCTGCCTCTATTGATCTTGTACTTAGAGCCTGTTCCTCCTGTCTTTCAGTCTAGCTTTGTCCAGCCATCTAATACTAATACTAATGGAGGGTTCCTGCTCTTCCTTCCCTTGTTCCTCTGGTTTCTGCTGCCTGGGGTATTCACTAAGCATGTCCTCACTCGGGGCCATCTCACTGATGTATTCATAGATATTTGTTGTTTCATCCTGGATAGTGGCTCTGGCACTCACTAATCCTCTGCCTCCTTCCTTTTGCTTAGTGTACAGTCTGGAGATGCTGGATTTGGGATGAAATCCCCATGGCCTGACATGGAGCAGACTGGATAGCTTGGCCCTGACTTTGGAATGGAAGATCGGGGGTTTGAACCCCGGTTGGGGCATGGTTAATATCCAGCCTGGTCCCTTAGGCAAGGCCCTTAATGATACCTGCCTACCTCATGGGTAATGAGAGTGGGAAAGTTGAGGCTGGGGGGGGGACAAATCCATTTCCAATTTAGTTATTGGTATTTTTATTGTTCTATCTGTATTTGACATTAGTTTATAAAGTTTAGAAATGATCTTTGAGTTTGTAAATTTCATTATCTCCTCAGCTAGCATGGAAGGTTGCAGGGGGTTGCTGATTATATTAGTCTTTGATTTAATTATGGATTTTAACTGTTGGTACTGGAGAAATTCTCCTCTCCCAACTCTGTACTTCTGGACTAATGTATTAAATGGTATAAACTGGCTGTTTTCAGATAGATGTTGTTGTTGTTTGTGTTGCTATGTTGGAAAGTTGATGGGGTTGATATGCAATTGAAAGTCAGGGTTATGCCAAATTGGAGTGTATCTACACAATGTTAATGATGTCACAAATCTAACGAAATGCACTCACCTGCCATTTTACTAGGTACATCTGTACAATTGTTTGTATTTCAGTGTAACACTTCCACCTTAACATCGGTGTTTATGTTTCAGTTTTTGGTGAAACTGTCTTAAATAAATAAATACATAGTTACTTTGTTGATCCTGAGGGGAAATGCAGGTAAAAGCACATCAAAATAAAGAAATGTATAAAAGTGTAATACTTAAAATATAAAAGTATAAAGTGTAAAAATTTAGGTATAGAAATATAAAAAATATATTGAGTAATGTGTGCCAAGTATACATAATAAGTAGAAGTGCCTGGCGTACTTGTGTACCATGCCAATATATGCAGGACTGAAGACTGTGTGCAAGGATAAAAATATAATTGAATTTATACATTTATGACAATTAGACCAGAGACTGAAACATTCTGAGTGCGATTTTACACCAATATATTGCATCACATATGCAAATGTTAATGTGGAAGTGTTGCATTGAAGTGCATACAGTATAACTGTATAGGTGTACCTAATAAAGTGGCCTTTAGGGAAACACGTTTCCTAACTGCATATGACAAACACTTTGAACTTGAACTGTGAGTGTATATTGCTGCAGTATCATGTCTGCTATAGTCCTATCATTCATAATGTTTTATGAAAGATAATGAGCTGATCTACACGTGTGTAGAGTGGGATCTTTTGGCAGGCATGGAGAGAGCAGTGCTTTCGAGGTTTAAGGCCACAAGCATGGAGTCGGTGACCTTTCCCCTCAGAACACTAACAAGCAGAGAAAGACTAGCTACTGTTGGAGAAAAGTAAAGTAACGGCACTTGAAAGAGCCACATTAATTATAAAAAACATAGTATTTGGTCCAGTTTGAACAGTTTGGATCAGTGAGTATCTAAACATTAAGCCTGGTTTGTAAGTTTGGAGTTGTCAACTGTCCAACCACAAATGCTTAGAACATCTGTTGTCTGTGTTGACATAATGGATACATAAAGTTAAAAATGGTAAAGAATTCAAACTTTGCCCCTAATTTAAGTTTTGTATTTCAGGAAGAGGAGTTCTACCTGGTAAAGTGGAGGGGCTTCCCAGAGTCTGATAATACTTGGGAACCTAAGAAGAACCTCAAATGCGCCAAATTGGTGAAGCAGTTCCATCTGGATCTGGATCAGTTGCTGAAGTTCCACAAGAGACGCTGCACCCCTAAAAAGCTGGAAAAGGAGGTTGCCACAATCCTTTTTCAGAAAGCCAAACTTCGTCAGAGTTTGCAGAGCTGGGAGGATCATTTGAATCAGACTCGCAACCACCCAGGTTGCATTTTTGTTAGAAATGAAGTTGACCTTGAGGGGCCCCCAAAAAACTTCACCTACATCAACAACTACAAAGTAGGCCAGGGTATTGTATTAGATGAGATGGCTGTGGGTTGTGAGTGTAAGAACTGTTTAGAGGAGCCAGTGAATGGCTGCTGCCCTGGAGCTTCTTTGCACCGCATGGCCTACAGCGATAAAGGGCAGGTCCGGATCCGCGCAGGACAGCCCATCTACGAGTGTAACTCTCAATGTAGTTGTGGTCCTGACTGTCCCAACAGAGTAGTGCAGAAGGGCATCCAATTTGACCTGTGTATTTTTAAGACTGAGAACGGCCGGGGATGGGGTGTCCGCACACTGCAGCATATCAAGAAGAACACATTTGTCATGGAGTATGTGGGAGAGGTAAGATCTAATCATTCACACCATTCATGTGCTGCTGTTTGTTTAAAAACTGTATTTGAGCTCGAGTATTTTGTTCACACTGAGGTAATAAGAGGCTGAAAAAAATCCTGTCCAAAGTATAATGAAAATTAAATGCTTTGTTCTTATCCAGTAGATGATGTGATAGGACATCCCTAAAAACCAGGAATTTGCTGAAATGTAAACCTAACTACAAAACTTTTAGTGAGAATGTTTTTGAAAAAATCATTTTATTTTTACATTTATTGAAGCTAGATAGGGCAGCACGGTGGCGCAGTGGTTAACGCCGTTGCCTCACAGCGAGAAGGTTCCGGGTTCGGGCCCCACCTGGGACCTTTCTGTGTGGAGTTTGCATGTTCTCCCCGTGCTTGCGTGGGTTCTCTCCGGGTGCTCCGGCTTCCTCCCACTGACCAAAGACATGCAGCTTAGGTTGATTGGTGTCTCTAAATTGCCCATAGGAGTG